ATGTGCTCATTAGCAAGTGGGTGAGAAAAAAAACCACACGCTTCATGATCAGAATATGCGGCACTGTGTGAATGAGTGTGAATGAGAAACACACAGCAAACCACATTGTAAAACGCTGCCAAGTACAAAAGTGTGCCAATTTAGTTCAAATGACAAAAGACATGCTCTTCGAACACATGCGGCAAAAACTTAAATTATTCTTTGGCATTTTGAGCATGCTGGTAGAGGAAAAAACAACATGCCATTAAGCACGCTAATTCATCTCAAGGTTGAAGCTGTAGGCTCAGCTATCATGATTAGTGATGACCTTTGACAGGTTTGACACAGTTTTCTGCTCAGACTCTTGGCTGGGTATCTTTTAGACTGCATGAGCACAAGAAAGAGATCTGAGTTGGACTTCCAGAGAATGTCCTCAGTGCAGCCAGTGAGCTCAAGTTTCAAAGGGATTTCAACTTTCAACCAAACTGAACTATTTGTTTTAGTAGCTAGGTCTTTTTTCTAACACGTTTTTCTAACCCTGTTTATCCAGATCAAATCAAATTAAATCAAATCATAAATGTGGAAAAAATGGCGCATGCACCAACTAGTACCTTTCACAATGCTGGTAAATGGTTGCAAACATTTCCCAGTGGAGGCTTGTTTGGTACAACCAGGCTCGGCGTCAGCCGGACAAAAAAGAAGGTGGGGCGTGATTTATAATGAGGGGGCTGCCGTTACTCTGATCAATGACGTCACGCTATGTCTGGAAGTAGCTGGCGCTGCACAAAACACTATTTACTTTGGTGACTGGGTGTTAAAATGCCAATATTCTGTGCGGTCTACGGTTATTACAATCACTCAAATCGGGACAAAGACAAACGTTTTTTTCAAGTTCCGAATGTGGTGCACCACAAAGGAATTAACTGAAAAAAAAAGTACTGAAAGAAGACGGCAGAAGTGGATCAGTAACTACAGCTTAAAACAGGAGCTGAAACAGACAATGCTGGAGTTTACAGCAATCACTTTCTAACAGGTAAGAGTTTACTGAGTGTTTTATTCAACATTTGCTTAGAAACAGCCATAAAAACGACAGTTTTATAATGTTTTCATGTGTCCTCACTGCAAATAGCTTTCAGAGTGCTAATGTTTTAGCAGTTAGCTTAGTGTTGTAACGTGGCATTTATGCTTTTTTGAAATCAAACAAATGAACCAGAAATTTGGATTTAAAAAGGCATCATTACATTTTTGTTACAAGTAAATCCTAGCACATTCTCATTGTTAGCATTAGCAATTGCATTATTATCAGGAGCGAATGAATTAAAACAGCACAAATCATTTTTTACCCGAGCAAAAACAAGACGATCATCATTTGAAGCTTCTCCGGATCAATAAAAGGTTAACCAACCTGAAATAAAACAACGGTAGGCTTCAAGGCTAGCAAAAGGCTTTCGTTTGGTTTGCAGTGTAATATGAGGAAGGCCGCACAAGGTAATTTGTTGCCGATCGCTTCAGAACTGGGTAAATCCTCCACAGTTTGTGAAAAGTGAGACTTTTAAAACTGTATGGGTCACACAACCTAAAAGAAGATGTATTTTTTCGCAATATCGCGTCTGTGTCAGCCCATTTAAAGCCTTAGTAAAATCGCTTTCATCCATCGGGCTGTGTTGTATCTCTGTGTTGCTGCGGAGCAAAACACTTCCTGTCCCCTATTTGAGTTTCACGTGGCTGCAGAGAGGAACATTTATTTTCCAATGCATTTAGAAACATTATAAACAAAGCCATCACACACATAGTAATATTCACAGTTTTAAATAGATATTTTAGAAATAGTTAAAAATGTTTTAAGTAATAATAATTAAATTAAATAAAATCTTAAGGGGCAGTGTAGTTCACTTAAGGGAACAACGCCCCTGAACGCCCCTAGTGGCGCCGGGCCCGGGTACAACACATGGGATGAGTACCAAGCATCAATGCCTGACGCTCACTTAAGTATTTATATATCTCATACAGTGCTCAGCATAAATGAGTACTCCCCCTTTAAAAAGTATGAATTTAATCAGCAGCTCAATGAACAAAACAGTTTCCAGAATTTTCACAAGGCTGGGTTTTACTGAACACTTGTTTAACTCCATAATATTAAATTAAAATTAATAATATAACTTAGACCACAAAATCTTCAGTTTTACTAAAATTGGTTGAAGCAAAAATGAATACACCCCACAACAAAAACTACTACATCTAGTATTTTGCATGACCACCGTGATTTTCAAGGACAGCACCAGGTCTTCTAGCCACGGAATGAACAAGTTGGCGACATATTGCAACATCTATTTTTTTCCAACAATAACCTCTTTTAGAGCCTGGATGCTGAATGGAGACTGATGCTCAATTTGCCGCTTCAGAATTCCCCACAGGTGTTCGATTGAGTTCCGATCAGGAGACATACTTGGCCATTCAATCACCTTCACCCTGTTCTTCTTCAGAAAGGCAACAATAGCTTCAGATGTGTGTTTTGGATTATTGTCGTGTTGGAAACGTGCACGACGACCAAGTGCACAGAGTGAAGGCAGCTACTTCTTCAGTATAGAGCAGTACTTTGTTGAGTTCATGATACCATCAATGAAATGCAGCTCCTCAGCACCAGCAGCACTCATGCAGCCCCACATAAGGACACCACCACCACCATACTTCACTGTAGGCACCATGCATTTCTCTTTGAAATCCTCACCTTTACGACACCATGCAGTTTTAAAACCACTAGTTCCAAAAACAGTGATCTTTGTCTCATCACTCCAGAGTATAGTCCCAGTAGTCTTCATCTCTTTCAGCATGGGCTCTAGCAAATCCTAGGCATGCTTTTTGGTGCATGGGCTTTAGGAGAGGCTTTCCTGCATGGATGATATCCATGCATGCCATTCCTCTGCAGTGTGCACCGTTTGGTGTCACGGGAAACGGTAACTCCAGTTTGGCTTTCTACTAATTTAGCTAACTGCAGTGAACTTGCATGGTGATTTGCAATCAATGGTCCACATTTGTGGGAGTATTTTGTAGTATGGTATCTCATAGAAATTGTTAATTCTGAAAGGAAACTAAAGTTTTCCCGACAAATGTAATGGGGTGTACTCATTTATGCTGAGCACTGTATATACTAATGTATACCCTGTCACAAAAATCTTTCTCTTTATTAAGAAGAATTTATGAAAAATACCATAGATAACAAATATAAAAGACTATCTCAGCTTCAGCAAGGTGAGACCCAAAAAGCTATTAGCTAAAAATTTGACATACAGGATATAGAACAACTAAAAGACAATACAGCCCCTTAGATCTGGTTTCAGGTAGGGATACACCAATATGAAAAATTGGGCCAATATCAATATACAATATTAATACTGTTGTTATGGCAGATATTTACTCATATTACGTTATATACACTCACTGGCCACTTTATTGGGTACACCTGTCCAACTGTCCCATAACACAAGTTACTAATCAGCCAATCACATGGTAGCAACTGAATCTGCAGCAGTTCAAACCGAGCTTCAGAATGGGGAAGAAGGGTGATTTAAGGCCCCAGTGTGTAATATTTTTGCCTGTTTACCATCAAATCCTGTTTCCAGTTCACAAACTTGTACTTGTTCATTAATATTTCTCACCAAGACCAATTCTAAATATTCCTCTAAACTTGAAATTTTACATGTTTTAATACATAAACTGTGGTCGACGCTCCATGGTCATCCACCATCTTAAAATACAGTAGCTGTTTAGGGACGTGAGCTCCACGTTACCCGTTTAGACTATGACTGTAACCTGAAAGAACCAGCAGAGGGCAGCAGTGTGCCCTGGAAGCATGAAGTCTGCTGATTGAACTAAGAAATAGAAACGAAAAGCTACACCGTTGCTGTACTTGTTAGTTTGAATAATAAATAATTACATCAAAAGACAAGTAAAATTTGTCAGTTTGTGATCATGTCCAACACAAGGAAGCTGCAAATGTTCAGACCCCCGCCTGCTATTAGCAGGACGCCAGCCTCTGATTAGTGTCACTGACTCCCAAACTCACCTCAAGTTGCTCATTTGTCTTTTCTTAGTACCAGAACTCCCGATCCAGTCCAAACGTGCCAGTTCCAAAGTCCTTCAAGTCTCCTTTCTTCCCGCAGCCTGCCATCTCTCCCAACATGCTCTAGCGCTGGTCCGCTAGCCAGTGGCTAAATCAGCGTTGTTCACTTGATTTCCACAACACTTTACGAACAGCGATGTAGTTCTCCATGCGTTACAGAGACGCTCCGACTCACAGGGCTTCTTCTCAAATGTTAACTTTAGGCTGGTGGCTAAGTCTCCACAGTGTGTCCCCGGCTCGTCAACCCTCCTTCACCAGCCGTGGCTAACAAGCAGCCAGCGATCGCTCCATATCCATTAGCTGGTAGCGGCAGCCAGTTTGTTTTCATCGACCGCACCATGATCCACGTGAAACGGGTGTAGTGGGAAATTATGTTCCCCTAAAATATATATCAAGAGCAAATATTTCCAAATTCACAGAACTTATTATCCATTATGACGACTAAACTACCTCAAATAAAAGATGGTTAAACTGAGTGAGACTGCATCCTTTTACATAACTTTCAAAAATGATAAATAAGCTTGCTGCAAAAGAGTGAACAAGAATATTTTACTGTATCTTTCTTGTTTTTAGGAGGAAATATAGATAAAAGTCCCAAGCATAATATTATTACATTACATTACATAATTTTCCCGTAAAAGTTGATCACAAATGTTGTAAAGATAACATCTGCAACCTCCCGACACAGGGGAACAGAATATTTCAGGGGAACACAAGTTCTCACAACACCTGACCTCCTGGCTGATGTCACCCCTTCTCCACGTGTGAATCGTGATAGCTTCAAGATCTAACAGAACTAGCTTGCTTCTAGGACTAAATTAAAAGCAAAGGAATGCAGCATCAACAGTGTCCCAATGGAGATATAAACGTGTGTGTGTGTGTGTGTGCTTAGTTTCTGTACCTGCATGCCAGTTGGGCTCAGTAGGCTCCACCATTCTTTATCCAAGCCAAAAACAAAGGCATTGGCCAACCCATGGAGAGGTGCTGATAGGACGTGTAAAAATGTTAAGGGGAATGAGGGGTCTTGGGGGTAGAAGGCATTATGGAGTCTGTTGGCAAAAAAAACAGAAACAGAGAAGAGCCCAGTTTAAATGTTGCAAAGTTTTAAATAAAGAAATACCCTACACAAGAGGCTTAAGAAGTAGGGATGAAGCAATCGAAGGAGAAGCCTGCGGGAAGAACAACAGCAAAAGAGAAAAAAAGAGAGCCAGAGGTTGATAGAGCAACAGAAGTCAAGTGAAAGAGAGGCAGAGGACAAGTGAAAGACAGAGTGAGGGACGGGGTGAGAACGAGAGGTAATGAGAGCAAGTAGCGGAGGCAGAAAAGAAGGAGCAAGAGCGGAAAAGGGGAGAGTGAAAGAGCGAGCGAGCTTTATATCAGCGTTTAAGAGCCCATTAGGCAGCGTGAGACGGCTGGGCTGACACATTCTTGGCTGCTGCTTCGACAGCACACAGCACTTTACAAGGACAGGGAGACGTGTAGCGCTCAACTCGCTTCCTCTCCTTCTCACCACTTTCTCTCAGCTCTGTTTCCAGCCTCTCCTGACCACTATTTAAACATGCCATCTTCGATTATTTCTTCATGCAAATTTCTTATAAAGTCCCCGACCTCCCTCTGATATCTTTCCAGAGTCTTTGCATTTGGCTTTATCCCCCTGGACATTTTATTTTATCTTGACTCACACAGCTGATTCTCTATTCATTCTTTTCAATTTTGGGTCTAGGAACCTGTAGCATGACCAGGAGAAGAACTGATACTGTGTGATTTGGCAGAGAACTAATGGTTGTCTGTGCAAACGCCGGTGCTCAGCCATTAACCCTGGATTAACCCTGTATTAGTGCTGCTCGCTGGGTTTGGTTGCCACTAATGTATTTTATTGATCTATTAGCAAAAGAATCAAACCACATGCGGCTCATAGCATTTTCTGCACGTGTTATGTTCATGGACTGAGTGGCCAGTGTGTTCCAAGTAGCCACAGCTGTTGACCTTTGGGGTCAGGAAAGTTATCCCCAAACTGTTTGTGTCCAGAATGAAAGAAAAACACAAAACCCGAAATTTGTCCGAAGGAAACACCCTTGTCTTGAGCTAACAAGGTGTTACACTAGACTCTACAGTAATTTCTTTATTGCTGACTTGAGAACCAAAAGGATAGATGTTGGGTTTTTTAGTAATCATCTTTGGTAAAACTGTTGGGTACAACTCTCCATATGAATCCTAACAGAGTTGCTAATATTGTGACATGACTGGACCAGCACCTTCAACTTTAACATAATGGTTCTCATTGTTATAAAAGGTACATACCAAAAGTTTTTCATTTAGAGATTCCTTTATTTTCTAAATAAAAACAAAACATGCTGTTAACAAATAACAAATAATCAGAATATTAAAAAAAATCTACATTTTTGCAGAGGCCTTGCATTGGCAAATGTGAAGTCATTAGCATTAATCTACTGGCATGGCGTCTTACACAAGTTTATCGTTTTAGAAGGCTAACTAATTATAAGTCAAATAAAAAGCCTTTTGCTATTGTTCTTCTCAGTCTAAGTCTAAGGAGATTTGGAGGTGGTACAATGGGAGATGTTTACATAATAAGAGGGGACCAAGAGGAAGAAAGGCTACTACAGGCCAGGCTCTGTGGACATCAATCGGATCAGTTCCATCATGCAGAAGAATAATGACCCCAAAGCATAATGATTAACAATAATAATTAACATGATTTAAAGAATAAACAGTCAGCCACAATTGTGACTGTGAAGGGCCACCATTTACTAAAAATGAATGCATACAGACAGCTGCATGCCTTACAGAACCAATCAGAATCAGAAGGGTTTTGCTCCCATATGTGTGAGAAATCGCCACATTAGGAAATTCATGCGCTACTTGCAGTTCCTGCTTTATCAGTCACACCCTTTCTAGAAGTGTGCTCAGGTGTTTTTGTACCATATCCCACCTCCTACTCACATTCAGCCATAAATGGTCAATGCAAACACCTTATGAATATTCTGCAAATACATAAGCTAGCTGATCTGTGGTATTTTAGGGGTAACCATGGCAACTGAGAGGTCTAGAAAACGCAATTTATTTGAGAATTACACCAAGGTGCATATGGGTGAGGTTTTATTGCCTTTGATTGGCACAGCGTTGTCGTAGCGGTGAATCCCGCCAGTGCCCAGTTCAGCACATAGATCTAATAGGACTGCTCTAGGGAATCTAAACTGGTTCATCAGCTAGTCTTCATCATGGGCCCGGAAATCATTGTGGGCTCTAAAAACTCTCCCCATCCAGATCCTGCCATTGGTGTGATCTTCAATGAGTGCCACTGCAGTATTTATATAGCTATCTATCCAGGAGTCACACTAATTGATACACATCTTTTCACAATTAATGCACCAATGAGTGCAGCTGCTAATGGAAGATGTAAACATTAACATACTGTGATATAACTCTTAAATAATTTTTTTTTTCATTCAGATTCTCATTTTTATAGCTGTATGTGTGTGTGCATATGTATGCGTGAAAGGGGCTACAAAACAAAATCTGGCTTAAATCCACCATTTTGCATCTCACTGGCTGCCCTTACAGTTTCCCAATTTCCAAAAATGTGCGTGCGCAAGGGTCCGGATTTGCGTAAAGTTGTGAACATTTTCCTGTCAAACTTTTTCAATAAATCACAAAGTTTGCATAGAAAATGACCTCATTTTGTGTAAAAGCAATAACTCCATCAAGAAAACCCATTCTGTTGGAAAGACAAACGTGTATAACACTCGTTTAATCAATAGATATTATTTGCATTGGTCTCTGGTAGGAATGAATGCATTGAAGGCCGTACATGGGGCAAAATTTAAAAAAAGCCCAGAAGCACCTGGATCAGCATAGAGCAGCACAACACGGCTGGATTTGGAGTCTTATTTCCTGAAATTTGGACACCTTGCCTCGGCTTGGATAACAGTAAAGCGACTCCACTACTGACTCTGTTTGCTCTGCGACACGAATGTGTTATCTCCCCAAATAACACAGGCCTGGAGGAGCTTCTGCCGTGTGATTGAGTTGCTAATGCTAATGGTTAGCTTCTGCTGGTCGAGACGTTTTGTGCCGCCTCCTGGACTCTAAAACAACAACAGCCTTCCCCATCTTGAGCCAGTATGGGTGAGTCAAAGCCTGTCAGGCTTTTCAAATTTCTATCTGCAGCTAATGAAGAGATATGTGTAGGGGACTATTTTCATGTTCAGCCTCAATGGAAAACCTCAGAGTGACTGATTATAATCAGAAACAATCATTAAAAATGTTTTTTTTAATGTTCCATACCTTTAAACAACGGTCAATTCAAATTTGAGGTGTTTAACTGTATAACAGTTTGTTCATCAGCAATGCTATTTGGAAAAACACATTGGAAGCTGAGGCTGTCTCTTAAGCCTGCCTTGTAAAAATCATTTCTTTAAGAATTTGTTTTTAAATTTAACTAACAGCATTGGATACGTCCTGGGTTTCAATCAACCACATGTATTTCTTAAAATTCACTTCCCCCAGAAGTGGGAGAGGATGTCTGAAGGAGGAGGAAGTGATGCAATGCCACCGCACTCTATGAATGTAATATTTACTGTACGCAACTCAATATACTGGGTTGTTAAAATGGTTAAAAGCCTAAAGTTTTAGCATGGTTTCCCTGTTTTTGAACAGATCAGAATCCTGCCAGTTGTACTTTGATTAAAGTTTTTCATGTATAGTTTTCTTGACGTGTGTTGTTGCACGCACAGATCACACCAGTTATGCTTGAAAAATGTAATACCGAACTAAAAAGTGGAGGAGCAGCACAAACGTTGTTGTGATCCAAAACCAGCTAACATCTTTTCTAAGTGAAAAAGCAAAAACATTAAAAACTCAAAGAGTCCTTCCTAGAATTAAAAGTGAGAGGCACTTTAACTTTTAGTTGTAAAACTAAGCTATGCTCAAGTAAGCTGTTTCTCCCCCTCCCTTAAAACCTTCTGACTGCAGGAGAACAGCACAGAAGATGATTACAGCGATTCCTCCACAAATCTTATTATAATCCTCTCTTATCCTCTTTTGCACTGTGAGGTTTCAAGATTTATTTGCTATTAATCTGTCTCCATTTACCTTCTAACAACCATTTGAAAAGTTCTGACAGAGCAAAAGAAACTAAACAAAGGTAGGGCTGGCCAGAGGTTGGAGGTACACCTGTTAAGAGAACCCACCTTCTGTCATTCTAGGTACGGGTGTTAACTAAATGTCTACACGCAGCTTTAAATAAAACCAACAGCGCAGCAAATGAAGCAGAGAGTGGCGTGCCTTAGCGCTTGTCAGGGTAAGGACCATTTCAGAGCTACGCTGCTTGTTTTCTGGGTTAGCGTACCGCGGTATCTCCGAGGACCAGACCAGCTGCTGCTCACATTCATTTCACTTCCCATTAAAGGTGAAATAAATCAGGAGTCCCCACACAACCTCCAGAGAGACGCAGGAAGCACACACACACACACACCCATAATCACACAGAGGAAGTTGGACGTGTGTGGATATAAATAAACACGTGTGTGTGTGTGTGTGTGTGTGTGTGTGTGTGTGTGTGTGTGTGTGTGTGTGTACACGTGTGCATCTATGTGCCAAAAAGGGTGTACATACAGCATAACCTCGATCACATGCACTGAGAATGTACGAAAGTGAAAATGCAATGGAAGTGTGTGTGCTCGTGCGAGAGTCTGCCTGCATGCGTGTGTTTCTGACAGCGTAGCGGTGAGAGTGACTGGGTCTGTGTGAAGGGGGGGCTATTTCTGGAGTCTCTCCTTTTTTTTCCCTCCCTGCTGCCGCAAAGAAACACGATCGGCGTCCGGGAAACGAGAGCTGGCAGCAAGCAATCATCTGCCTGCCACGCACACACAAATGCGCACACACGCATACACTCAGACAGCACCTCGCAGCGCTGAGCAACACGCGCCATGGCAACGGAACAGCCGCAATTAGAGGCGAAGAGCCTTTTCCCCTCCATCGAGGGAGAGAAGGAGAGCAAAATGAAAGGAAGAAAGAGCGCAGGGAGAGG